ATATCCGAGTTTCTCGGTCTGCGCATTTTTTCGTTTACGTTTTAGAGCAATAAATCTGGACAATCATAATAAGATACGCGCAGTTCGAAGTCTCGAATTCTCAAATTGTCATAGAGTCTATCGTTGATTTTATTAATTATACGTATTTATCAAAAGAGAAAAAATAATATGAAAAAAAAGGAACTTCTTAATGATATTATGCATACATATTAATGACGTGTATGTGTCACGAATTAATTTCACGATCGAAGTATCGATGTATCGATGCGTAATGGCGCTGTCGTTTCGGAAATTTACATGTTATATGATGAATATCAATTTTCAATCATAATTGTAGGCTCGACTGTACGTTTTTGTCATTAAACAATCTAGATTGAGCATGTGCAACGAAATATATACAAAATAATTAAAGTTATCTCATTGATTTTCAGACTCTTTTATGAATGTTAGAATGAGAAAAGAAAGGAGATATCAAAATGATATATAAAAAAAAAAAAAAAAAAAGAGAGAGAGAGAGAGAGAATGCATTACAATTGCATGAAAATTGTCGCCACTTACTTTCCTCGTTTTTGCGCGTAAATAGTTTTAAATAGTTTTTAATTCACTAATGGGCTGTATAGTAGTAGTCAATTGATATACCATAAATGCAAATAACTATTTTTCATAATTTTATTTACTTTTGCTTTTGATCGTCGGTATTCTTACAGTTTAAACGACAATTAATCAAGTCAATTTTTCGATATTATCAATATGGGCTAAAACAAAATAGAAGAAAAAAGTCGATACTTCAGTTGGCAATGGAGATCTTGCTAACGAGACAACTGCCTTCGCCAAATATCGGTCGCTCGAATATCGAGGAATCATTACAAAAAAAAAAGCAAACTCTCGCTAACACGTCCAAAGAATTTCTTGCTTTAGTCCAGTAAAACGCTTTGGACTCGACGGCTCTTATTGCTTCCGCTGATACGAACGCGTCAGTCATTGGGTCAATATTGAACAATCGAGAGCTTAACTATAGAATGCACTGCCCGATTGTTCCACCATGACGCGGAGCAACAGCTAAGCGAATATTAAAGAAAATTAAAGCATAAAGCATTGGCTCATTTAAAATCTTTATGATCATTAAAGTATCCGCTATGTAGCCCCTACCCTACCTCATATCATCCCGATAACAAAACTAATTAACAACAAATTCACGAGGCATTGGAAAGTCTTATTATCCCTTTTTACTCTGAACTATTATCGATCGATTGTATAAAGAAATAATATAGACATTTGAGCGAAAGTAAGGCTTAATAAAATGTCTTTACTGAGACGGGCAAAATCATTGGAGTGCAAATTAATTGAGGTCTCACGTTAGATATCTATTTTTATTCCTCCTTATCAGAATGACTTATACAAGCAAAAATATAAAATATAAAATTACTTAAAGTTTTGATGATATTCTTTTTATGAATTTGAAGCGATTGAGATTTAAAAGTCCCTACAATTTAGTCGAAAATTCACCGTGGCGTATACATTGTAATTATAAAAAAATTCATTTTAGCGATATATTCATGAGCTTATCCTTAATTATGATATTCAATAAACAATAAGAAAATTGTAGTTTTTGATGTTTCAAGCAGTTTATATACCAATTTTAATCACGACTTGAACAATATTTTTTATCCTTTTAAACAAATTTATAGCAAAATTCATATTTACTATTATTATTATGCCGATGAAAACTACAATAAATAAAAAAAGAGGATTATGTAATATTAACCATTCAATGTATTATTATTGTCATTTTATTTTATCAAAATTTCTCTTAAATTTTGCCGTTCATCATTGTTTCTTATTTTACTTACAGCGTTCAAATATTTTTTAAACATATATTACATACAAACACTTTGGGCCTCTTCGATATTAATCTCGCTTAACATTAAGCGTTGTTAATGCTATTGTTACATTGTTCATGTATCTCTAAATGTATGTGTCATTTCACTAATCAAGAAGTTGCGTCGAAAATCGGCCCTTAACGTGGTTATCAAAATTTCATGAAACTAAATCGTCATGCATTTTAGTTTGCGTTTTGTTGTGGCTATGAATTGTTTTTCGAATATAGAATGGAAATTCAATGTAGTTGATGAAAAGCATGAACACTGATGAATTACCAAATAATTATTCTGCCATGTATGGATCATTTAATAATGATTTAATAGTGTACGAACGTTCGTAATACTGTAAATTTCATATTCTTTAATATCTCATAGATTTATGATGATGAAAATGATGTTTTTTTTTATTCTTTTACGTACGTCCACTTATTTTTTATTACGATCCTCTTATTTCTATCAATCAGACAGCCACTGTGATATTTACCTTTGCGTTGATATTTTCAATTTTGTCAGAACTCGCTCAGAATTAAAATGAAATCAAATCATAGTGAAAATTCAAAGAATGATGTCACATTTCTGCTCAGACGCGAGAAAAATGTTAATCGAGCGGGTTCCCATATACGTATATATGAACAGCAGCAATTACTATTTGACTCTTTAACAGACAACATCAAAGTATTAAAAGGCAAATTAAGAGCAAATAAAAAAAATAAAAATAAGGAAGATTTATTAAAGAAAAGTAAGTGCATTAAAAAGATCTACGTTTATTTATTTATATATATATATATATATATATATATATATATATATATATATCTGATTCTAATATGAATCTCATTTATGTAGAATTACAAAAATGTCAACACAGGCACTTGGTACATTGTGTAAAAAATTATTACCATTGTTGTTGTTATATGCTACAATGACTTTTTTTTTTCTTTTTTTTTTTTTAAGGAAAAAAAGAACAGGTTATTTGTTATTTAAAAGAACAAGGAAAATATTATAATTTATATGGATAATATTGCTATGCATACTTAAACAATTATGTAAAAATTCCTTATGTATATACGTGAATTGAAAAAAAAATTTGATAATTATAGCTACTGTTCAATAAAAGAAGAATCTTTTCCGAAAGTTTCTTTCCTGACGAAATCTTTGTTCTTCCGCGTTTGGCGTTCATTTGTATGAAATTGCGTTTTAACGCAACGGACTACATGTGCTTTCTTCCCGTGTGATATAATTACTTTTGACGTATAATGTAATGAGTTATGCGATCAATCGCTATCATATGACGGATTATTTTTGTTACCCAATTTCGAATTGTTATCATAAATATCTATACTTGTATATATATATTTTCAACTTTTTAATAATGTAAGCGTCAAAATTTATTATTGTTACTGTTGTTATTATTATCATTATTATTTTGTGGCAATTCTTGTTGTTGAATTATAATGATAAATAAGTTTATAATAAGGTTTAAATTATTTTGAATTTTTGATGTTGAGGCAAATAATTCGTTTACCAACTAGAAATAGATACTCGAATGATATTTATATCTTCTAGTCAAATGTTAAATGCGTAAATTAAAAAAAAAAATACTATTGTTAGTTTAAGGGGCTGCTAGTGCATTGCCATATACAAAAATTATAATAGATTACAAGAACTTGAAAAAATTATAAAACTAATAACTAATATGTATAATTCAAATTAAATTTTTTTATTTTTATTTTTATTTATTTATTTATTTATTTTTTTTTTTTTGATGCAAAAGAATGTAAATCGTTTATAAAGTATGTTTGATTGAAAAAGACTATGGAATCCATATTTAATTCAAAATTATTATATATTTAGATGAACATCTTGTATAATATTTCATTTAAGTAATTATAGTCGTGTATAAATTCAATTCGTTCTTAAATTTATATATTGAATTTCTATGCCACTTTTTATTTTAACCGATATATTTATTAAATAGATGTAATAACCATAATAAATAATCTAAATGTAAATGTTCGTTTTTATAGAATACAACGAAGTCTTACAGTTAATCGTTGGAGACTGCTGTAATAAATAAACTTATTACCCCTCGAATCTCTTGAATAATAAATACTTTTTCAAATACTTTAATGGACAGTATTGTAGATGGTTTAGCTAAACGAAATAAATACCCAAACACATGCAGATTGTGCATTTGTAGCCCCTTAAAATTATTTCAATTTTACGAAGGATAAAAAATAAATAAATAAACGAACAGAAGTAAAATGCAATTTAATATTGTTACTATTATCGTTATATTAGATTAGTTCAAGAACTGGATATTTTATTATAAGAATTACCTCGATCTCAGAAGAATTTATAAAACAATAGAGACAAATACGCAAGAGAGAGAGAGAGAGAGAGAGAGAGAGAGAGAAGTAACGTTTGGTCTTAATGAAAAGAATTAATAATTTAATGAAAATATTGTAGTTTCTTCTTGTCGTTTGAGAAATTATTAATTACAATTTAATACATAATCACGGAAATATAAATTTTTCATTAAAAAAAAAAACAAAGGGTGTATCGTGGTAATGTTTATTATACCTATGAATAAAAGCTGCAACAACAAAAATTGACAGCTAGACTGGACCAATGAATAGAGGAAGAAAATGAATATTAAATTTGATACAGATACAAGAAAATCTGTTATTAAAAACAAAACAAAACAAAACAAAAACAAAAAAAAAACTGACTAATCCTTAAATGCAGCACCTCTTGGTAAGTCTTAAGTGTAAGTACCAGTCCTTTTCAATAAATCACTTATTCACAATATATCTGCATATATTTTATTACATAATTACATCAATAGTAATTGAACATTGGCGTACTGTCAATTCTTACCGAGATGTGTACGTATCATATATGTGTAATGAATGGATTACCATACAATATCATACCTACTTATAATAATCATTAAGATATTAAATCACTATATTTTCCTTGATAAATTAAAAAAATAAATAAATAAATGAAACGATATAATTTACCTTTAGTGTTTAATAAATTTTGTGAAAATAAAGCACTTTACTAGAGCACACTCCTCTTTGTTTTGTTACAAGTTCATGTCCGAGAGCCCTAATCATTACATTAAACATCTTACTAATGGTATTATTTTAATTTAAATAATGGTGATTAATGGTGCATTTATGACTTAATTAGTACGCAAGTGAAAACTGATTCCTCTCTGATGCCAAATGTCCCTTTGGTCATTGATATAGGGTACAGGTAGGGAGCAAACGAGATGATTCCGAAATGAATCTGCGTAGACGGGAACTTGCAAGGTATTGAGATCGGCGGTTAATACCGCGTCTGTCTCGCTCCACTCGCTGCCTCGGCTCTCCTCATCCCTTTCTCTCAAATGTTTCTCATCGATGAAAGCAATTAAGCAATCCGGGGCAGTCACGACCGAGCTCGCGTTCGCTGTTACTTCTTCCAAGATTCCATTCTGTATGCGTGCCCCTGTTGACAATTAATGTCACGAATTTCAGACAAATACGACCAACTCACCACCAGCATCATTTAACTTTTCCCCAACTTCATCAATGAGAATGAGACGTAACTAACTCTGACATTATTTGACATCTACTTATCCCAATAACCATGCTTTCGTTACACATTAGACACTTGTAATTAAGTCTCCCAGTGATTAATTGTGCATTATTACATATAATAAGTTGATTATTTCTCTCTAATATGTATTTATCTAATATGTCTCTAATGTATATATGTATATATATATATATATATATATATCGATCAATACACAATACCTGTGTACTTATTTTATGCGCACGCGAGCGCGTGTGTGTGTGTGTGTGTGTTTTTTTTTTTAAATACATTGTAATTGTAAGAATTTTTTTCTCTTTCATTTTTGCAGGGACTTTCGTTAAAATAATGTTAAAGATAAGCGATAATGTTCATTCGTTATTTAATCTACTATTACAATTATTAATGCCCTCTAGTTATAGCTTTTCATTTGCTTTATCTAAGTAATTAAAAGTACTCGCTAATGTTAATTTTGTTCCGCCAACTCTTTATTCAATCGTAATGCACAACTTCATTACCGTTTTCTAGCTTTATCGTTATGCAACACTTGCCTGTTAAAAGAAGTCCTTCAAGAATAACCGATGTTTTCCAGATTCCTTCTCTACTGAAATCTTTTGTCCATTTAGTTTGTAATTGTAGATTTTCAAATGGCCGTTTAGTTTCTCGGGCGCTGTATAGTTTAAGAGCTGACAGAAAAGCTCCAGGCATGGAAAACCAGGTGAGTTTGACCTTATTAGGCAGTCCATTTAGCGACTTAAGTGACTGGTATCTCAAAATTAATTGATTAACGAATGGAATGGAATCTCGAGGGCCAGAACGCCAATGGGCAATCCATTGAGCCGGAGTCTGCAAACAAATACATACATAGTGGCTGTTAATTTTGCTATATTTTTCTTTATTTTCATTATTTTTAAAAACATTATTAAAAATAATAATAACGATAATAATAATAGTTGACACTAACTTTCAAGTCGGCTTTCAATTCTAGAATATCCAAGTTGGAACGTACAAACTCCAATAGTTCTTTCGTCGTATTTATTTCATAGGTGAAAAATCGCTTTAACGGATCATCTTCTAATTCATGCGTCGCCTCTTTTACATTTGTCGGCTCGATTATTCGCTGCTGATCTATCATTGTTTTCATATCTTTAATGCATTGAAAAACCGACGTAGATAATGCTTTATCGGCGTCGTCCTTACCGATCTTACCAGTTTTCCTTAAAATTTCTAAATAAAACGCGTGGCTCATTATGCGCAGCTTAATATAATCGAAAATTCATAATTAAAAATGCTTATACCTCTTATGTATCTTAATGTCAATTCAGCCGCTGACCTTTCCCAAGCTCGATAAGCATTTGCCGGTAATCCGAAATAAGCTTGAAGCGAGTCAGCATCATCCAATCTGTCAATCATTATGATAGGATTTTCCGAGTCTGCTTTCGGTATGCTTATAACATTTCCTAGTTTTCGATGTCCCCTGTACATGTCCTTTGACCATATGTGTCGCAGTATCGCCTTTAGCGTACGCATGTCGTATTCGTCTTGCAAAAATCCGCCATAAACCGCGACGTCAAGGATCCCTCTATCAGCTTCCCAGTCTTCATCGAATTTTTTCGTCCCATCTTTCGAGCTCTTCCTTACAACTAATTCACAAGCCGCCTGCAGATCAGCTTCGCTCCATCCGTAATCCTTCGTCCAGCCTTGAGGGACGAATCTTTCATAAATTCCAAAAATGTTAATGGCGTTAGACAATGTACCATGTCGATATTCATTTTCCACCTTACATCCACCTTACATCCACTTAATATAAATAAAAACGTACTTTCGTCTTTCCTGAAGTATAGCATGCAACCAGGAGATTAAGAGTAATTTGCAAGGATTTTTTATCATCGGTTGGCACTGCTGCAGCTGCTGAAGCGACCTTTTAACGTTACGTTTGATACCTTCGGGTGGCTCGTAAGCCAACTTCAGACACAGACCGGACAGTCCTGAATAAAATCCGTTACATTCTTCCGTGGTCAGCCAAATTCTCGTATTAGGATCCTTGTGCGTGGTGCAAGCGGGTGAACGTAAAATTACCTCGAGACGAGGCAGCCAATTCAAGGCAAGTTGAAGATTACTTAGCAGAATCCAGCTTCCCTGTCTTAATCGTATCCGTAAAAAGAAAAGAAAATTTTTTTTTCTATTCTATATTAATGAAAATTAATATAACGGGCAAGTGAAGGAGGTGTAGCCGTCGACTGGTAATTTAGTATCTTATGAAAAGAAAACATATATGTGCGCGCGCGCGCGCGCGCGTTTGTGTACATGTATTTAAAAATAAACTCTTATAGGTATAATTTTTACGAAAAATAGTCAAATTTCTTAGAGCCATACGAATAACTAATATAAAGACAGAACAGATCAATATACTCTTATGAATGAGAAGCAACACATTTTTTTTACCCACACATACAGAGAGACACGTTAATTGGCTCTGTGTTCTTTTCGATAAAATATGTACGCAATTTTCCAGTTTCATTTTCTGTCTTTTCGTCTTACTTGCACGCTACTTCTAAAGCAGATTCGGCTTGAGCCACGTGACCTTGACCTAAGGCGATTTCCGTAAAACCAGAGGCAGCCAGGACTTTGTTGGCTACTAAATTATTGAGCTCCGGTGCTGGATCTGCGCCTGGTGACAGAAGCAGCAGTACGGGTCGTCTTTCGTTTTCTTCCGCTATTTGTTTCAATGTCCAGGAAGGTGGCGTGAGGTTTCGAACTCCTGAATTGTGCGAGTTTTTTGTTTTGTTCGTGTATTTTTTTATTTTTATTTATTTATTATTTATTATTATTATTATTTTTATTTTAAATATATTTGGTAATTAATGATTAATTGTGCTCTGAGATGTAATTTAAGAGGAGTAGATAGGTAGGTGATAGTGATTAATACCGAGTTGCTGGGACGTCCATTTGGTGAGGGCCGTGTGAAGATACTCGGGATGAAGAGCTTGGATGATTAGAATCTTTTCGAATTGACTGATACGGTCGTCCGAGTAAATGCTGGCAATATTATTCATCCAGCTGGGCTTGATGTTTTCCGCCATCTGTGTTCAAGACAATCGTTCGATAATACAATTGTTCGAATATAATCGAGGATTTTTAGGGCAAAGGTAAAAGATGACCGACCGCGGGCAATATGCCAATTAAAGCACGAACGGCCAGTTTTTGCTCCGATGGGATGTAATTAGGAATATCAATGTCGATGCCAGAGCTACCGATGTACGCACTTTCTCCGTGTAACAAAAGATTTCGCTGTTCTTCGGGAACGGAGGTCAATAACATAGCCAAGTGTAATGCTAAAGGGAGACGATGTTTTCTGTAGACAGCCTTTGTGCAATGATGGAGTGTCATGGTTATTACACTGAAAATCATATTAGGCTTTCAACATTATTGCTATTAAGGCATTATTTAAATTTAATGTTCTGTACCCTTTCCTCACCACCACCACCACCACCACCACCACCACCACCCCCCACCCCGTAATAAATGAGTTCGGGGCACTTTTTATAATGCAATTATCAGACGATTGTAGATAAATTCTGATTTAGTTAGTTAACGCTCATTTAATATTCTCGCAATATTCTCGCAATATTTTTGCAATATTTTCATTATGAAAATTTCAGCTCGTTTCGCCCTTGAGTTTAAGAGAAAAATTTTTTTTTTTTTTTTGTTCTTTTATAAAGCATAGATAGAGAGTCGTTTTAAATAAGCGATATATCAGTATTTCCGGTGCGTAGAACAATAGGACGAGGGGACGATGTAAAAATAAATAAAATTGTAAGTATGTAAGAGCGCAAATGTTTGTACTCGTTAAACGTCATATAATGCCTGATAAAGTCAATATTATAAATTATCGTACTTACGATCGTTCGAGCAACTTTTCCCTCTCATCCTTGTTGGATCTGGTCAGCTCTGCTCTACCGCGTTCGACATCCAAAAATATATCCGTTATAATCTCGGCAGTGAATACGTACAGAGAGCTGAGAGTCGCGAAGGATCTAATGAATTTATATATAATCGCTGTAAACTTGGCGAGTCTTTCGTGTTCGTTGCTCCTTTTCAGGACGTCCTCGAGGTCACGGTGACTCTCATCCAGGGCACGCTCGATCTCTCTCGCCTTCGACTGCGTCACCTCGAGCGTCGCTAAAAGACCGCCACCATGCTGATTCTGCGACTCCTGTAAGATATTCTGACCACGAGCCGCACCCAATTGCACTAACAGCTCCAGTCTCGCAGCCTCTATTTCTCCCGACAGTTGCTCCTCCCTCTCCAAAGCCTTCCTTCTTCGATGCTCCACTTCCGGTGTCTCTTGCAAAATAGCCTGTTAACCAACGGGCCTATTGGCTAATGTTGTGGCTGAGGTAATTTTGGTGGGAAATAGAGAAATAGAATCGGGGACCGACTACTAAAACCACCGATCGCACAGATTAATCTCTAATGCACCTAGGTAGACGTACCTTTTCAACTAATCGTTCAGCCAGGCTCCTACTACCGGACCCAAGCGCGATCTTCATAAGGACGGCATCGGCCTCGCTCGGCAGGCTCTCGAGTAGCTCCTCTTGCCTCGTGGCCAAGAACAGCTGGAACGACTGCTGCGCTGGTAGGCTCCGGTCGCCGATTCTCAAGGGACGTCTCCTGAGCAGCGGCAGCAGGACCGAGGGCAGCTCGACGATCTCCTCGATGAGCAGTGGCTTGCCGAATCTCACCGCAAGTTCGACGATCGTGAGGAAGCGTGGTTCACCGGGCCGAGCGACCTCCAGTCGCGATTCGCCGATGTGCGCTCGAAGCCAGGTGACTGCCACACCCGAGGGATCCACGAACAGGGGCACGAGATTCGACCGCAGTGATCGAGCCGCCCCGATTAGACTGTCGGTGTCGACGGGGAGGCCCTGGGCCCGCCACTGCAGCCTCTCCCGCTCACTTATCAACGAGTCGATCGCCCGTTTGCGCCTCTCGTCCTCCTTCCTCACTGGCTGGTGCTTTGGGCGAGAATGAAGTGCATCGAAGAACTCGTGAGTACGAGGGTGTCGGGTGACGGGTGACGGGTAACGGATAACGATTTTAGATTGCTATTAACGGTAGCGCGAGGAATTGCGACGGGGACCTTGGAGCAAAGACCATACGGCCGAGGCCGAGCCGACATGTAAATTATAAGAAAACGGATCGGCGAGTCTTTGAATTGCCAGGCCAATGGGTGCAGAGGGATGGTAAGTGGAGGACTCGACGGGACGATAGGAAAATACGAAACCTGATAAATGAGGAGAGCAGCGGCGTCCGCAGCCTCCATTCCAATCCGCATTTTTCGTTCGGTGAGCAGTTGGAATTGCATCAGCCAGTCATTGTGCTCGGCGTCGAGTTTGCCGAGCAAAGCTCGAGCGGTTGACAAACTCGACTCGGTAGCTTCGGTGCGCAGCTGCAGCTCAGCGGCGCCTCTCGAATGAGCCGCGAGCTCCTCCTGCAGCTGGGCCACTTTGTTCTCAACCGTGTTGAGGCCAGTTTCGAGCTTGCAAATCTGCGTCTCCGCAGCCAACAGTCGACTGAACGACAAACATCGCCCAATTAGCCATTAAATGAAAAATCTTTACATCATTATTATTATCATTATTATTATTATTATTATTATTATTATTATTATTATTATTATTATTATTATTATTATTATTATTAATAATGTTACTATTATAGTTGGAAATGTATATTTATTATTCGTTGAAATTGAATGTGTGTGTGTGTGTGTGTGTGTGTGTGTGTGTGTCTGAGAAAAATAGTGCGCGAGCCTCGGGGAATGTGTGGTAGTTGGGCGATTCCTGTGAACAGGTTGGCTATAAATAAGTCAGCTGTGCATTTGAGAGGCGAGACAATATAATATGAGCGAGGTAACATTGGTCCTTCGTCCAGGCTCGACGACCTAGTGTCGGTCGCATTAACGGCGAGTGGTAGTACTTACTCGGCGAGGAGACGTTGCTCCCGCTCCAGTGGCGCGACCTGCTGGACGATTTGACCGTACTGGAGATTGGCGAGGACCCAGGCAGCGAGGGGTGCGGCAGCGACCGAGGCTCGCTTGGCAGTTCGCTCTTCGAAGCTCTCGGGTTTCTCGCTGACGAGTTTGGCCACGGCATCGAGGCTCGCCGGGGTGCTTCGCCGGGCGTCCCAGTTTCTGATCTCCTCCTTAACGCCGCGTTTCGCTAGGAACGTCTTCATGCTGTTCCAGGATGTGTCGCGTATTCCCATGAGCCGTAGCACGCCCTCGAGGACGTCGCGCACCGGTGCCGGGGGCGCGCGCAGCGAGCGCACCTCCGAGAGGGCCTCGGCACTTATGCCCGCGACCGCTTGAGCCGCTTGTTCTACCAGAGGCTCGACCTTGCCAAGCTCACCCTCGATATCCAACTGTCAATTCAATTCAACGTTCTCTTCGATCATTCCTACGGAACCGCGTCAGGGTGCCTCGAGGTAGCGGCTCCCAGTGGGGAACCTCGCAAGCTCGAGTATCGTTAGTTTAGCAATGACTTGCCACGAATACGGACAAGGAGCTTTCCCTTCCCAAGATAAATTAGCTTTTCGGCAAATCTCTTTTCCCAACAACGCGCCGATTATCGCGGATGTGACGATTGATTTATTATCATCGTCACCTCCTTGCAATTAATTTATTATTCGAATGACTTGAATACTCGAGATTAATCTAATGATTCGATTATGCAGCATATATATATATATATATATATATATATATATATATATATATATATATATATATATATATATATATATATATATATATATATATATTATATGTCAAAGGAGGTGTACGAGGCAAAATAATTAATTAACGAAATCTCGACTCAATCCTACAAGCCCAATGACTTTCAACGTAACGATATATTTTTATAAAAAAAAGTCCCCAAGCCCTTACGTAATTTATCCATTTATTATTTTATCAATTTTGGCAACCAGCTAATTTTAGCAATATAATGTCGATGAAAAGTACCTTTCGACGAGCAAGTTCGGCACTTTCGCGCTCGGTCTCGTCCTTCAATGTCGTCATTTCACCTCGTTGTCCCGTGGCGCCCCGCATCGTTGCCGTTATTTGCTCGAGCGTGGCATTAGCTCTACCCTTTTCCACCTGCATCAAGGACAAAGATGCATGACAAGAAGACTATGTATTTGTTAAGGGGGTTTAAAAGGGGCTCAATGGGCTCAACCGACCTCGAGCTCGTGTCGCTGCTTCGTCGCGTCTTCCTCCAATTTGGCTATCTGATCTCCAGCCTCTTTCAGTCGATCGATACCAGCCTGTAAGTTCTTCAGCTTCTCGAGAATATCTCGGAGGCAGGTTTCGCGCAGCTCTTTCCACTTGTGGAGCAGTGCCAGGAATCTCGCTGGTACCTGTTGCTGCTCGGGGGCAGTTAGGTGCGCTTGCACCACCTCGTTCGATCCCGAAAATTCTTCTTTAATGTCGCTCGACGAGTCCTTGTAAAGGCTAGCCAGCTCCGTCAGATGTTCCTCTATCAACCACCAATCACTGCACAAGCATTGTCCGGTCGTTTGTACGCAATGGCGAGGAATATTCGTTTCCGACAGCCATTTGCTTTTCAGCTCGTAGGAATCGACGATTAGAATAACGCGCAGATACCTCCTCAGACCTATTAAGGTCGATCGATTAAGCTTTAAAATTTTCGAGACGATTTTCGTATATTTTCACGCCAAATATCCTCAATCAAATTTGATAATCGCAATTTGTAAAGATAAGAAAATTACTGATGAAACGATATGATTTATTACGATTACACAAAGCCTTATTGTATTTTTTATCAATATGTATGTAGAGAAAGCACTCACGATGATACAAATACTGATCCAAGCTCCCTGGGAATTCCTCTCTAGCTGCCGAGTCGGCAAGCGGTGCCACGAAACCGTCCAATTCCTCTGCCGTGTAGAGTCCTGGTAACTCGCCATTGGCTATTATTGCACAAAGTAAAATGGCCATGTCATCTTCGCGTAAGTGATACTCCTCGATAATTAATATAGTCAATTCGCCATCGATGCCTGCCGCTTGAACCGCTGCTTTTACGAACGCCTTCCCTCGACCTACGGCCAATCATTTATTTATTTTTTATCATCCGTTGAGACATTCGTCCTCTTTTCATCGAGGCGTCGCGATCTAAGAAGCCATTGTACGCATACCGGGGCCAGAATCGATAATTCGCAGGGACGAAATGACGGAAATGATTTTTGTCGCCCATCTTCGTCCAGCACCCGGACGACCGGTTAAAAGTAATCCCCTTCGCTGACAACCGAGGCCCCAACTAATGCCTAGTGAGTCGAGGACGTTTTTTGGGAGTAAAATATTAGAGGTTTAGATCGCGTTGTTGAATCGAAGAACTTTGTCATTTAACGACATAATAATGACGGAATAATTAATAATATACCAGCAGCTATTTCTAATAAATGTGGCGAAATGCTTGTCAACATTGTGTGTCCTTCTCGAATGCACCTTGTTACTGCATTTTCAATTTCAGCTTTCCAATGTGATTTGGCTAGATTTATTAAACCAGCACTAGATCCTTTCCAAACATAAACTTCGGCGTCAAAATTAATTCCCGTGGAGCTTCGAGAAAATATAATAGACTCGAGACGCTTTTGTTGCTTTATTAATAATCTGAAACGTTAACGATAAAAGCGTGTTTCCTCCTTATTCCAATGACAATTGCTTTAAGAAACATTTGATAAATGTACTTTGCTTTAAAATGACGTCGCGACGAATCGATCAAGTAATTTGTCATATTAGATTCATTCTCGGGCTTCGGATAATATTTTAACGAATCGATCCACACCATCAAATCACCCAATGTCCATTTAATAATGTCCTTATTGGTAGAGAGTTCGTTGAAGGCTTCGACGATTATCGAGGACATCTTAACAATCCAAGGTCTCACTATAATTTTATCGTCTCCCAGTGATTGTTCAAGGTGTAGTTCTACAATTGTGTCAATATCGTTCGGCTTAAGAGGCCTAAAATTTAAGAAACGTATAAAATTAATTGGAAAATATTATTGACATAATACGCAATTGTTATTATGTTAGTTGCCGTAAGTAATGCGTTGCGAATAATGAATCAAGTCTTGGATGCAAATCCGTGGAGGAGTCGCTGGTGCTTAAGATGACGACAGGTAGTTTAGCAAATTCCAGATCGTCTTCGTAAAATCCTCCTTCTTGTATCAATTGGCGAATGAGTTCCTGAATAATATAGCAATTTTTAATTATATGTGCATTAATAATTAGTCGCTGACCTCGAGATTGCCGCTTTATACCTGAAAATTTTTCGAAGCTATATGCAGATCTCTTATAACTAAAATCAAATTTGATCCATATTTTGGTTTATATGTTCTACCAACGGATAACGAATCTAATTTAACGCACGATCTTTTTAATCTGTCGATTAAATCTTTCGAGCCGTACAACGATGATGTTTTTATAACTGAAATTGCTTCCTTCGACTCCATTTTCATTAGAGTTATAATAGCCGATAATAAGGAATTTTTTCCACAGCCGTTTGGTCCTCGAAATAGAACCGCTTGTCCAGACGTGATCCAAGGCAAAGTTGCACTTATTCCCCTTTGCAGCGATCCTAATTTTTCGTATTAATTGTTTGTTAACGAAACAATAGCAATAAGAATAGCAACAAACATAGGAATTAATGTGACAATTCGTTATAACCTGATAAGTAAATGGAGGAGCCTTCGTCGGTTCTCATCGTTTTTGCATCAGTTATAAAAGGATCTAGTACGTCCTTTTCTTCGTTATATATAACATCGTAGGGATTATCGCAATCGGGACACCTGATGTAAATTACATTTATGATATTAATGCAATGGAAGCAATGTAAAGATCCATCATCTTACCAAATGCCAGTTAACTGATAAATCGAGCGCGCAATTTTATCTTGTAAAGTTGAGCTTTCGATTTGTCCGCATATGGAGAGCAACAATGCGTGAATACAACTTGTTTGCGTATGCGCATTTTGAAAGTGAACCATTGCAGCGCGCAATAATCCCGGTGCGGATTTTTGTCCTTTTTTGATGTTTAAAACTTGTTCGATCGCAGAATGAAGGTGATTCATAATAAAGTTGGTAGTGGATATAGAGGGAAGATCGCTCAAAGTCGCTGAGTTTAGAAGAATTGACGCTGACATTTCACCAAGATAAACAACGCCTAATCGAGAAACTGTGGCTGGACTGGCATTCGACAATTTATGTGACTCGAATAAGAAACTGAAATTTGCCATTGGAATAAGTAAAGATCATTAGCCACGCTATTGTTAAAAAGCTTTATTATTATTGCATTTTTTATATTAATTACCGTGTTTCGTTTCCCAATTTGATTGCGACTCCGTTGGAGAGAGTAAGAATGCGATTATCATCCAAAGCCGAGTTTAAAGCTTCTGCCCATTCTGGCTCAACATCGCCATTAAATATAATCCACAATGGCTTGCCATCGGAATTAGAAATAACGTTGGACAGTAATCCTTCCTTAAATTCTCTACAATAAAATGTAATGGTTTTTAATTCAGGTTGTAATATTTAAATATGATCGACGATGAAATTGACGTGCAAACGATGAATTGCAACGAGTAATGTATTTTGGTATTGATATTCGATAGATTTTACCTCGTTCGAGGATCGACGGTGCCAAGTAGTTTTGACTTTGAAATTGCTCCTGGATAAATTTGAAATTGTCTCACGGTTTCTCCAATCTTCGATAAGGAGTCGGCCAATGTTCTTATTATTAATGACTTGCCACATCCAGGTGGTCCAACAATTGCAACTCCGCTCCTGTTTTTCAATTGATCATTTAACTGAATACATCTACTAATTAAGCTCTCGTTTAAGTTTTGAGATTGGCATGTATCATTAAGAATAGATTGTAAATCTTCATTTCCTTTAATAATGGCTTTCGAAGGTAAATCAATGGCTGGAAATATGTCGTTTAATAATGACAAGAAGTTTGGCACATCTTTTCCAACCAATTTAGGCCTGGTGGCTATATGAATTCCCGCTAATAATCTAAGAAATAATATAAAACGCAAATAAAAATATAATCGATGTGTGAGAAAGAAAATTTAAACAAAACAAAACAAATAAAATAAAAAAAAAAAAATAAAACAATAATAAAACATAAATGTAGGAAACATTTATTAATTGATGAAATAAATGGAACTCGATCATTTTTTTTTTAATTTCATTACATCGATGTTCTGTAAGTTTCGTCTTATGCTAAAGCTTTGAAGATATATAAAAATTTTAAATCAGATCTTCACGTACGAGAATTATTTTCGTATTAGTGTTCGGTATTAGTGTAAAGCCTTAACTATATAAGAAAATCAGAAACTATTTTCCAAATAATTTCAACTACTTCTTACGCGTTTATCTTTTATTAAATAATTAAATAAAATAATTAAATTTTAGATTCAATGCAGATAAAATTGCATTTAAATCACACGTATTCTACATAATAAAGATAATAATATTACAACGGCTATTTATAATTTAGTCTGATAAGGTAATTATCATACTCTACTTTATTTTCATTATTGTAATAATTTCAATGTTCAAACACGCTCGATGTATATAAGGTAAACGTCTGATAATGAGTTGAAATGAAATAAAAGAGACAAAGTATAACCTTGAATTTTCAGTTACTTCGTCAAGCCCAACGGCCGATGGAATGGCATTTAGCACGGATCTTAGCGCTCGTAAGCCCCAGTCGTAGTGCGCTTGTTTAGATAACAATTTCTCTGCAGTGTCGAAAGTCTCGACTAATTGATTGGCTAATTTCCACGAGTTCATAAAACCAGCGCACTCCAACAGTGTCGTAACGATGTTGATTTTGTTAGGATTGGCCATTCCAATCGATCTAAATAATCTTGCTAATGAATCCGGTAATTTCCGTCGTCCCCCATAATCATCACCAGCAGGATTCATTGTTATGAATAGGCAACAGTGCGGGTCTACGCGTATCTCCGAGCCATCCAAATTTATTTTTCCAACTCCATCGCGAATTGCCTCTTGCAATGGCCTTATTAGCATGGACACGGCGCTCATGGTACTCTCTTCGAGGCGATTGAATTCGTCAAAGCATCCCCAAGCACCGGCTTGTGCCAAGCCAATTAATATCCGACGCATACTGCCAGAATCCATTCCTAATTAAGGTAATAATATTAGAAATGAAAAAGGACATTGTATAAATTGATCGTATAGCAAACCTTCGTCGCAATTGAACACGAGAACACGACGTCCTAATATGCCACCCAAAGCTTTTACGCTCTCGGTTTTGCCCGTACCAGCAGGACCTGTTGGGCTACCTCCGAGTCCTAATTTCATTGCTTGAGTCAGAGCGAGGTAGCATTTTTCCGTTAACGGGCTTCTCACAAGATTAACAGCAGCCCCCTGATACTCGAAACAGTAGGGGAATTCAGCTTTGGCACAGCGTACAGCAGCTCCACCGCCCTGTTTCGACACATTTTTTTTTTCTCCTCTCAAGGTTAATTCCTATGTATATTCTTATTGCTTTTATATAAGGTCGTTGTGCGTGCGTGCGCGCACGTGTGTGTGTGTGTGAATGGGGGGGGGGAGGGGAGTCGAGACCCTATTAATATAATACTTGATATATTACTTACATTTTTGTAAGTCCTTAATTGACGATTCCAATTCCACCAAAGTTTCTCCTTATCCGAGATTACGTTTAAGAGATTTTCAACAATGTGAATATGATGCACAGTTTCGAGCAAAAGGTTCTTCACCTTTAAAGACATCAATTCATCCCCCGGATCCTCCAAACCTTTATAACGTACCCTTTGCTTTTCAAGAAATTTGAGCAAATCTGTTAAGCCCCTGACGTTATCCTCAATAGCGATTTCGCACTTTTGCGTGAAGCGAATTCTTTCGCACAAAAGCAATATTTGCGTCGGATACGATGCAATATTTGGTATTTGCTCTAACAAGCAAGTATTCAAATTTTGCTGTAAGGCATTTCTCATACTTTCCTCTAAAGTCAGCAACCACTTTGGAAATGTCTCTGTAAGACTAATTTTGTCAATTAGCCGGAGCTTCTCACCTTGCGGCGACACGATGCTCGTTATATAACCATTGTCCTTTTCAATCGAGCCAACTCCTTGATACAATTTCGCTAAATGGACATCCAAACCCTTCCCTTTACCAGACACTAATTCAAGAAGGTCGTCATCGCTTAAGAAGTAGAGCCTCGGATAGGCCGATCTCTTTTCCTACAATAGCCAAAGACATTTTAATGAAACATCAGATTGAAATCCAATTTATCGCATTGTTAATCAAATAAATATTCCAACTTCTAAAAAGTCGTCCAAGCTCCTCTGACATCTGTCCATCAAGTCTTTAAGGCCGACGAGAGCATGAAACGGCAGCTTTTTAATGGACGGTATTTTGGGATCCCTCGATATTTCCCCGATAAAGTATCTGCAAATGCTCAAAACATAAGTTCAAAACATAACCTGAAAAATGGCCAAGCTCCGAAAAAGCTTCAACCATGTCGTTTGATCCAATCGATACGGAACCTGAATTCTTTATCAGCTCGCGCCCATCTGCCGGAATCGCTGGGTGCAGCGCCGCCACCGTACACTGGCTCTAAATAAATCCATTTTCGTTGAATTGTATTGAGCAGCTTGACGCGCTCTTCCAGTTCGTGCAGCGCGGCTTCGCATCGAGCTGCTCTCGAGGCAAATCTTTCATACCCCGTTGCTCCCCTCGCCCCCTCCAGTATCAGCTTCAACTCCCCTTTTACGTAACGACCCATCATCATTCATTATTACCAATTACTGAAATTCACTTAAGAACAAAGTATATATATATATATATGTCGTGACAAGCACTTACCGGCTCGCGCCAACAGTGTACTATAATCGCTAACTATATAAATCCCCTCATTTTTACTGTCCTTAGACTCTTGAAGTGGCAGTGACGTATAACTCTCCCAGGCCTCGAGTTCTCCAAGCGCTTGGCGTATTCCACTCTCGGCTGCGGCACGTTTCGTTACGTCCTACAAATACCACACATAGACCTTGAATTACATTTAATTACAATCGTATGGATAATAATCGCCGATTCTGTACTTTATATTTAAATTTTAAACAAATTCACGTTGCGAACCTTGATTCGTTCGGCATTAGCTTGGATTAGCTGCGATCGTTGCAGCAAGTGGCCCAAAGTTATGCCGTTCGAGTGCTTCACTCCCTCGAGCTCCAATATGTCCTTCAATTCGCTCCAGTGCTCGTCCGCGAGCTCTTCCCCCTTCAACAGCTGCACCCATTCGACCGACTCTCTCAATTCCAAGATCCGTCGCTCGATATAAGAGTGGGCGAGATGCTTGGAAGTGTCGTGCTCCTGCAGCGACTCTTCGCGTTGATTTTTGGAATGCAGCTGTATTTGGCCCTGCCACGAGTCGAGCCAGTCGTGAAACTTTGCCAATCTACGTCTAGCGACCGTCCACTCCTCCTCCTCCTGTCTCCTCAACTCATCCATAAATTCACTTTGAAATTTGCAGTTGAGTTCCTCGGCTTCGAGCTCGGCCTCCATCCGCGCTACCATCTTATCATCGCTTGCGAATATTTCATCAACGGGCAAATTCAGTCGTTTGCAATCGCTCACGAGCATGTCCCTTTGCTCGGACAAATTCGTCCATCTTTCGCGCATCGTTTCTATCCAATCGTTGCCAAGTACCTCCGGTCTCGCCATCCACTTTGCATTCCAGCGCTCTTGCTCGTCGTGAACGGCCAGCACTTGATGTCGCAAATTCAACTTCGCCTCCTCTAACTGATGAACCATTACGCCCTGATAATTCCTCATACGTTCTTTTAAGCTCTCGCAAGCAATATGCGCATTATCCAAGCCTGTGAGCGTTTAAGATTTACAAATAACGCACGCTAATCTCAGCTCAATGCCAATCATCCTAAGCTTATCCTACTTCGTTCTTATGGCTAAACGTTCAATTACCTTCTAATTTTTCCCTCGTCCAGGCGGCCAATATCCTACCCAATCCCGAAACATCCTCCAATTCTTGAGCAATATCATTGTATTGCTTTTGAATGTTCGAATAAGCCTCGTATACTTCTCCAATTTCTTCGATAGTGCGCGCCCGTTGCGATAATTTTTTTAACGCCGATGACAAAAACTCCACGATTGCGATTAAACGCGAGGATGCTTCGGCCCGCAGATCCAGCGCCAATCGTTCCCAGCACCTACACGCGATATTAACAATTTATCTACACTCTCTCAAATTTGGCCTTAAATGCTAATGTTCTAGATCGACTTTGTGTGCTCGGATGATTTACCTGCGAGATAGAGATTCCAAGTCGTTTCTTATTGTTCCAGTATCAACGGTAATGCATAATATCTTTACTTCGTTTGCTCTCAATTTACTAACCTAAATAAAGTAACGACAAAAAATAATAAAAAATTATGACACATATGATCATTTCGCAGTCCTTGTAGCATTATTTACAAGTTTTACAAATATCTGCTAAACAGCAATGACGCGCTTTGGCGCTTTAATAATTACAATCAAACACATATCGACACTCTTACGAGTGTCATATTATACGAGTACACCTATTGACCTATTAATGACAAAATAATGACAAAACAATAATGAAGCAGATATAACCATTTTCGTGCAAAAGTATAGATTATTATTATTACCTCTTGGGCCCACTGTTTGGAATCTTTAAATGCTTTTTCCCAGTCTTGCCATTGCTTGCCCCTCAATCTAAAATTAAATTTTACAAATGCCAAATCCGAATTTTTATCACTTTCGAAACTAAAAGACGAATGAAGGAAAGAAAAAAATTAACAATATAAAATGTATTAAAAATTCCATCATCGAGCTTACGTTTGGCCGACATCGACATTCGCGGGAGCAACAAGTGACAGCCACTTTATTCGGAAACTTTCGAGCGCGCTAAGCAAAATTTCCGCCTCCTTATAAACTCCCCCGAACAAATAAATGCTTTGCGGTATGAGAGTTTGAAAGTGGCCATCGGCCTGATCGCCAACTCCACGGAAATTCACTGGGATCGCGAGGAAGCGACGTATGCCTGAATAAAGTTTCGTTCTAATGTCTTCGAGCGAAGGCTTCCATTGCAGCGATTTGTCGCGAAAAGTCAATTCAACTCGAATTTCCGATAATTTCTTGATCAATGATGGCAAAGCCGCCCTATAATAATATTAGCTATGAAATTTTCGTATCTTTCCTCGTCCATCGCACGGAAGTTATCATTACTTTATACAATATTACCTGTAAGCTATTCCCAAAGCTTTCAATAGCTGTCGATCCCAATGGAGCTTCCACGCCTTCGTATTACCATAATTATCCTCGACCAAGCTGACAATATCCCTCATGCTCCTTAAAGTGTCTTTCCATACTTTTTGATTTGTCACCATATTCACGCTCTCACCCTTTAGCAAATTTGAAACTAAATCTCGTAAAGTTGTGTGCTTCGAGGCGAGTTCGGCATTCTGATGTGCAAATCTCTTTACCTAAGTTTAAATTAGATAAGAAAAGCGATATAAGACAGTTTCTTCATTCAAGTAAATCGTATTAGACTTTGAGAACGCGCTCGAAACGCATTTTAGCCACCGATTTAATGCCAATAGCCAGCATTTTTTTCTTTTCTTTTTTTATTTACAATGCGAATTAGTCAAACGGGGTAGCTTTACCAATTCTTGGAGTTTGCTGGTGAAAGCATCGACGGCTCGGGGATCCGACCAGACGACGCCCGATTGCTCGCGAACGGCTCCGGCCAGTTCGAGGGCCGCGGCAAGCATCAGCGGACGTTGCGACGGTATCATCCGGTCGCCAATGGTGTTGTGAAAGTTGGCTACTTGCTGTAGTGCTCGCGCCCGTCTCGTCAACATCGAGGCCCGCTCCACCAGGTCCTTTATCTCACGCGGAAGCTCCACGCCCTGGCCGGCGAGTCCGCGACCCTCCCGTATGAGCGTCGTTAGCCGCGGGTCGAAGTTTACGCGCATCATCTTTGCGCCGGTGAGCTCGACCACTGCGCTCTTTTGGCTCAGTGTCAGCTCTTTCCTCGCCACCGACTTCTGCGTCTCCGTCACCTAATTACGATAACACCTGGCTCCTTACAAAACATATGGCAAGATCCGCCTCTATTCCATTCAAATCCAACTCTTTCGACAGTCTCTGACAGTCTGTTGTCGTCATTGTTGCCGCCATTGTCATCGTCATTATTATTATTATTTATTATTTATTATTTATTATTTATTATTTATTATTTATTATTTATTATTTATTATTTATTATTTATTATTTATTATTTATTATTTATTATTTATTATTTATTAATTATT